CTATTATTCCTCTTCGACTCACTGCCCACTCTTTACCCCTATCCTACATGCTATTGTCCATCCTGCTATACCCACTCCTCCCCTCTATCCACTCCGGGCCACTAGCCACCCGTCCCTGAACCCCCTTACCCGTTTTTCTTTCATCATTCCACTGACTCTCCCTTTTCCCACTTACCCTAGACCCCAAGCTCGTATCCACCATCTTCTACCTACCTTCCCCATTTCACTCCCTCTCCCCCAACCTACTCTCCATCCCTCTCCCAACCCACTATGTCCTACAGACCCTATGCGGCTTTATCTCGTCCTCCATTTCTTTCCCTCCCCACCCCTACCTCTATATATATATGCGTCTTGATTCCTCCCAGCATTACTCACCCTTCCCTTCCTCCCCTATCCCACAGCCATCCCTCCACCCCTTACCATAATACCCCCTCCTCTCCCTCTCATCTTCCCACGCCCCTGTTCTCTATCCCTCTCCTAGTACACCTTTCCTGTACACCTTTCCTCTATCCCCTTCCTCATTCCCCTGGGCTAAGGAGGTATGTTTACTTGCCAGTTATGCAGAGAGGAAATTGCTAGGTTGTAAGCAGGGAAGCAAGCACGGTTAAGGGTGTTAAAAGTTAATGTTACATCATGTGCTCCTGCTTTAGTTGTAGGAAATGCTGTCTTCTCGTTTTATTGTCGTTTTCATTGTTACTGTTATTGTTATTGTCGGTGCTGTTCTTATCAATTATTTGCATCTTTACTGCTTTTGTTATGATCATTCGTATCACTATGCTCTTTGCCAGCGTGACTGTTATCGTTATCATGATCATTATTTTTCCCAGGTCGGTCTTTGCTGTTATCATATCTATTATCCTCATTTTTCCTATAAACGACATTATCATCTTCACCATAATCATCATAACCATCGACATAATTATCATCTTTATCGTCCTTGTTATGATGATCTTCACTATTATCTTTTATGCTGTTTTATTATCGTTATCGTCATCATTGGGAAGTAGAAGATAAGCAGCTATATGCAAATAACAATAACAAACATTAGATTACAATATTGATAAATAGATAGAAGTAATGAAAAACGAAACAAAGGAAAAAATTGACAGAAATTATAAGAAACACCAAAAAGTTGATAATGACGATAAAATAAATAATATTGATAATGATAATGGGGATGATGGAGAGGATGATATTCATAATAATGATAAAAAACAACAAAAACAACAATAGCAGCAAAAATTGATTGACAATAAAAAACAATAATGAAGAGAAAAGGTAGAAGAATTGTGATAATAAAATAAAGGAAAAAAACAATTGAATAGAAAAGCTAAATGTAACAAAATCAGAACAAAACCTGTTCCTGTTCTACAATATCCTTACGTGTCCCGGTTCGAGAACAAAAGGGGGGAAACAGAGTCCTTTGTTCTGGTACAAGAAGGAACAGTAGATCTGCTGCAGTTCCTCACGACACACTCTGGACGGTACTCTAAGTGGGGTTAAAAAGAAGAAGAAGAAAAAGGATTTAACTTTGTATTTGATTCCATGAAAGAGGAGATTTATGTGGATTCTTCTTATGTGGCATCTATGTAGATTTCTTTGTTTTGTTTTGTTTGGATGTGGTGCCTATGTGGATTTGTTTGTTTGTTTTGTTTGCATGTGGTATCTATGTGGATTATTTGTTTTGTTTGTATGATAAATCTATGTGGATTATTTGTTTTGTCTGTATGTGATGTCTATGTGGATTTGTTTATTTGTTTTGTTTGTATGTGGTATCTATGTGGATTTTTGTTTGACTGTTTTCTGATTTGATTTGTTTACACCGTAGTATCAGTACAAATTCCAACACTACGGCTTATACTGAACCATGTGCATAAAATAGCATAACTTTTAATCAAACCCATTGACTCCTGCATCACAGAGATTGCACGTTCCCTTCTCATCTTTAACCCTTTTAATGGTTGTGTCGTAACATTAGCCTGTGAGCTAAAACTATGCAATGCTGTTACAGGCTTTGATTATTTTCTTTTGTCTTTTTATGGGTTATGAATATGTGTTTGTCTTAATTGCTAAGAATGATGACTCATTCTTTGATTGATTATATTGGTGGGATATTCAGTTTCTTAGTCAACTTTTCTCTTGATTTCCCCCTTTCTACCCTCTGCGTTTGTTTATTTTCTCTCTCTCTCTTCCTCTCTATCTCGCTCTATATCTCTTTATCCTTCATTTTATCATCTTCATTATCCTCTCGTCTATCCCTCACACCGCCCTCTCGTCATCCTTACCTTCCCAAGAGCGCCCACAGTCCTTCGCTGACCTCCCTGGGCGCCGGAGGTTCCTTATGGCAGTGACCTCTGTACCCGGCGTCCATTGCCCGTTCGAGGTCAGGGCATGTGGCATGGAAGACCTCGGATTCCGACTCCTCTCGCTCCTTGACTTCGGTGGAGGTCAGTTCCGGGAGGATTTCTTCCAGGCGCGAGTTGTAGGTCAAGTGGAGGACCTGAGGAAGGAGGTCAAAGGTTAGGGTTGTGGGTTTTTTGGTTCTCTCTTTCTTTATTCTTCTTGGTCTATTTGTTTTTGCTTGTTTGTTTCTCTGTCTGTCTCTCTCTCTCTCTCTCTCTCTCTCTCTCTCTCTCTCTCTCTCTCTCTCTCTCTCTCTCTCTCTCTCTCTCTCTCTCTCTCTCTCTCTCTCTCTCTCTCTCTCTCTCTCTCTCTCACTCACTCACTCCCTATCTCTCTCTCTCTCTTTCAATTTTACCGTCCTCCTCTTCTCCTTCCCCTTCTACCCTCTCCTCTTCATCCTCCCATCCTTTCTCCTCATCTCCACTCTCCTTCCTCTCTCCCCCTTTCCCTCTCTTCCCCTCCTTTCCCCACTTCTCCCCCTCCTCCTCCTCATCCTCCTCCTTCTCCTCCTCATCCTCTTCCTCCTCCTCCTCCTCCTCCTCCTCCTCCTCCCCTCCTTTCCCCTCTTCTCCCCTTCATCGCACCCATCTCCTCTCCCCTTTCCCAAAGTCTAAAGAAAGCAACTGAGGTGTGAAGCGCAAATATTTGACTTGGAGATGTACTGTACACCGAGGTAAGGAAACCAAGACAAGGGAGCAAGGGACGGAACGAAAATGAAAATCCGTCTTTGTTCTTTATAAAGATTCTAATGGTGTCGCAATCCTCTTTTTTTCTCTCTCTCACACCTTTTATGTGATTTCCCTTGCGCCTTCTCTTGTCTTATCTCTTTTTCCTATCTTTCTTTTCTGTTTTTTTTTTACTCCTTTTCGTTTCATTAAACTTTTATCATCCTTTCTCTCTCTTTGCATGTCATTCTGAATTCCTTATAGCTACCCATGTTGTGTGTTTATACTTATAACTATTTATAAACACACACGCAGATGTGTGTGTGTGTATGTATATGCGTATATATGTGTGTATATATATGTATATATATATATATATATATATATATATATATATATATATATATATATATATATATATATATATATATATATATATATATATATATATGTATATATACATATATGTGTGTGTGTGTGTGTGTGTTTGTTTGTTACACACACACACACACAAACACACACGCGCATATGTATATATATATATATATATATATATATATATATATATATATATATATATATATATATATATATATATATATATATATATATATATATATATATATATATATATTCTGCACATATATATTCTAACCTTATCCTTTCTCTCTCCCCGTTCCTCCAGCGTCGCCCAACTCGACCGGCCACTTGCGAAGCGCCCTTCCCGCTCCCCTTTGTAGCCATCGGGCAAACTAGCGGATTCCTGCTGTAATCTCGCTCTCGTCTGTCGCTGCCGCCCACAACGAACGCAAAGATTGGGGAGAAGTTGGGTGATGGGACGGGAGGGAGGGAGGGGGAGAGAGGGGAGGGGGGTGGGGGAGGGAGGAATGACGGTGTTCTTGGTCTCGGTCCAAAGGAGGTGTAGTTTCCTCTCCTCTTTTCCCCTCATTCTCATTTTCTTCCTTGTTTTTTTTTTCCTCCCTCTTTCGTCCTCCGTTATTGAGTCGTCCTTCTCATCATCTTCATTTCTTTTCTTCTTTCCTCACGTCCAGTTTTTTCTTTCTTTTTCCTGTTCTCCCCTTCTCCGCTTTATCTATGTTTGCAAAATTCCCATTTCTTCTCCTTTCCTTTCCTTTCGTCTCACCATCTCCTTCCCAACCTCTCTTCCATCTCCCTTATTTTCTCTTAGTTCTCCTCCTCCTCTTCTCCTCACTTATTCATCCTCTTTTTCTCCCTCTTCCCCTCCCTAATCATCCCCATCTTTTCCCTCCTCCCCTTCTCCTCTTTATTCATTCTCCTCTTTCTCCTTTTCCTCTTTTCCTCTCTATTCATTACCCTCTTTCCCCACTAAATTCCCAACTATCCCCCATTCTTCTTCCACCCCCCCAACAGAGTCTCCCTCTCCATCTTCCTCCCACACTAACTCCCTCTCTTCCTCCCCAACTCCCCAATGGCTCCCCAACCCTTAGCCCAAATCCCCCCCCCTCCAACAATCCCCTCTTTTAATGACAGCCACCCTCCCCCTAACACCCCCACCCCTCTACCCCCGCTATCTTCACCCCATCCCCATGTCAACTCGAACACCCTCTTCCCCAACCTCATACTTTTAACTATCCACTCTATGTCAACCTTTTATTCTCGCTTTCCTTCCCCTTCTTCGTTCTCACTTACCAACCCTTCCCCAGCATTCTTAACTTTACCCTCCCATACCCCACCATTCCTTTCCCCTCCTCCAATTCCCCAACATCCTTTCCCCTCTTCCAACCCCCACACTCCCATCCCTCCCCAACCCCCCTCTACCCTATACCCCCCTTTTCCCCTCCTTCCTATCCCCTCTATCCCTCATAACCCCCCTCCCCTCCCCCAACTCCCCACCAGTACCTTATACCCCTTCCCATCCTCCAACTTCCTCCAACGCTCCTACCCCTCCCCACCCTTCCATCCCTCACCCTCCTATCCCCCTCCATCCCCCACCCCCCTCCCCACCCCCCTCCCCACCCCTCTCCTTCCAATCCCCAATCTGCAGCGTCGGCGAGGAATCGAAAACAGAGCGTCGTTGGGGGGGATATTGTCGCCGTCGTGATCACCCACGCTCCGCCGCCCATACCACTCGCGGGCGGGATTTGGGGAAGGGAAAGGGTAAGAGGGAGATAGCGATAAAGGAGAGAGAGAGGGGAGGTAGGTAAGGATGGAGAGAGTAGGTAAGAAAAGAGAGAGAGAGGGAGATAAGAATGGAGAGAGAGGGAGGGAGATAAGAAAGGAGAGAGAGAGGGGGTAATAAGAAACGAAAGAGAGAGAGGGAGATGAGAAAGGAGAGAGAAAGGGGTAGGTAAGAGAGGAGAGAGAGCAAAGAGGGGAGAGGTAAGAAGGGAGAGAGAGAGAGGTGGTAAGAAAGGAGAGAAAGGGGAGATAACAGAGAAAAGACAGGGGAGATAAGAAAGAAAAGAGAGGGGAAGGTAAGAAAAAGAGAGAGGAAAAAAGAGGAAAAGTAAGAAAGGAGAGAGAGAGGAGAAAGAGGGATGATAAGAAAGAAGAGAGAGGGAAAGAAAGAAGGAATATAAAGAGAGAGACAGAGAGATAGAACGTCTTAAACAGATCCCGAGTTCATGAGAATTCTTGGGCAACATCTTCACAAGTATTCCTTCAAGTGAGATCTCTCTCTTTCTCTGGATATCTGCTAGTCGCTTTCATTCCCTCTCACTCTCTATCTGTCTGTCTTTATAGAAAAAGAATGATTGAATTGATAAATGTGTGTGTGTGTAAACATATATATATACATACATACATGCATACATATATGTATATATATATATATATATATATATATATATATATATATATATATATATATATATATATATATATATATACATATATATATATATATATATATATATATATATATATATATATATATATATATATATATATATATATATATATATATATATATATAAGAATGTATGTATACCTATACACAAGCAAATACACACACACAAACACACACACATATGTGTGCTCTTCCCGAGGGAAGAGCAACCGATAGGAGAGAGAACGAGAGAAGAAGAAGGAGAAAGAGGAGATATAGATAGAAAGGTAGGTAGGTAGGTATTTAGGTAGTTAAGTAGCTAGCTATAAAGGTAGATAGATAGGTATATATATATATACATATACATATATGTATATATATATATATATATATATATATATATATATATATATATATATATATATATATATATATATATATATATATATATATATATATATATATATATATATATATATACATATATATATATATATATATATATATATATATATATATATATATATATATATATATATATATACCTATCTATCTACCTATATAGCTAGCTACTTAATTACCTAAATACCTACCTACCTATCTATCTATCTATATCTCCTCTTTCTCCTTCTTCTTCTCTCGTTCTCTCTCCTATCGGTTGCTCTTCCCTCGGGACTCCAAACATCTTTGAGCGAAACCTTTGCTGATCAGTCATCTTTCACCTTTCTCCCTTTCTTCCCTTTCCTCTCTGTTCTTTTCATACCTCTCTTTTTTCTCCTTTTCTCTAGTTCCTTCCCTCTCTCCTAATCTGTTATTTTCTTTCTCTTCCCTTCTACCTCTTTTTTTTCATCTTTTCCCCTTGCCTCACGTCTCGCCCTCCCCTCTGCACTTTCTCCTCTTTTTCTTTCTCCCTCGTCATCTTCTTTCCTTGTTCTTTTTCTTTTCTTTTCTGCTCCAGTTATTTCCTTCTCTCTCTCTTTCTCTTTCTTTTTTTTCCTGTTCTCTTTTTCTCTCGTTTTCTCCCTCCTCTTTTCTTTTTCGCCTCTTATTTTACCAACTCGTTATTTTCTCTCTCACTCTCTTTCTTCTTTTCCCCTCTTCCTTCCTTCTCCTCACATTTATCCCTTCGTCCCGCATCTCTCTACCTTTCTATTTATCTCTCCCTTTTTCCCTTCTTTCTCCTTCGTTCCCTTTCCTCTGCTTCTTCCACTATTTTTCTCTGCCTATCTGTTTCTCTTCCTCTTCCTTCTTTCTATCTGTTTTTTTCCCTTTTCTTCTCCTGCATCCCTCTTCCATCCTTCTCCATTTCTCTACCTTTCTATCTATTGTTCCCTTCCTTCCCCTTCTTTTCCTCCCCTTCCTTCCCCTTCTTTTCCTCCCCTTCCTTCCCCTTCTTTTCCTCCCCTTCCTTCCCCTTCTTTTCCTCCCCTTTCTTTCCCTTCCTTCCCCTGCCTTCCCCTTCTTTTCCATTTTCTTCCCTTCCCTTCCCTTCCTTCCCCTTTCTCCCCCTTCCTTCCCCATCTTTCCCTTCTCTTCGCCTGCCTTCCCCTTCTTTTCCCTTTTCTTCCCTTCCCTTCCCTTCCTTCCCCTCTCTCCCCCTTCCTTCCCCATCTTTCCCCTCTC